ATATCGCTTTAGTAGCTTCACGCTTTGGCAATCTACAGACTATGGTGTCATGGGTGAACAAGGCCGCTAAATCGGTCTGTTCGTCCATAAACGCTCGGAAGACGAAGATTTTTTTCATGCTGCACCTCTCGAGACAGTTTCAAATAACTCGAGCAAGATTGTTGCCGAATGAACAGTGTAAGGATAACTTTGTCTCCAGAATCGATACAGTCTATGGATTCGACGCGATATTTCTATTGCAACGAAGGTTCGCGTTTACCATGCATAAGCTCGGTCTGCGCTTCTCTACGGCTGTGAATGCTGGGCTATGCGCATGAGAGGTGACAGAAAACGGGAATTATTTGACCGGTACTGCTTGAAGATCATTCTTGGAGTGAAGTATGCCGACTTCTCAAATGAGACAGTCCGCACTCACTGTAACAACATCGCAAGGATTCCCAGGCCATCCAAGAAAGGCGACCGAGGTGGTTTGGACACGTTGTCTGTCATCACTCTCACGAGCTCAGTGTTACTACCCTCGAATCGAAATCCTTGCCTAATTGGAGACCTCGAAGAGGGCTTCAGCTCCAAACCCAGCTCGATTCAGTGCGCCAGGATATGGAAGCGGTTCTTGGCCCTTTGGTGTTCGGCCTCCGGTGCTGGCAGAGAGAATGAAATGAGCTGTCTGAGTGTGCTGCTCCAGGTTGGCTGGCTAGTAGCCCTTGTTGGATCCAGAGCCCCGCCGGGTGGGTCTCAATCCCGGCGGCGAGGAGGAGGAGGAGGAGGAGGAGGAGTCGGGACAGCTTGGTCGGGAGGGGCTACTCCGTTATCAAAAACATGGAGGAGATGAGATAGATCCACCGTAGGGAGGTTTGGTATAGCAGACCTTGGCCGCCGTGAGGGCGGGTGGGAACGAGATATCATCTAGACCAGCTAAATCAGTCATGATCGCAGCCGTAACAAGTACAAGCAAAAGGCATGTAACACTTCACAAGGACTAGTCATGGAGTACCGCCTGCTCCAAGCGCGATTCAATTCAACGCCGTAGAATGCAATGATAGTACTACCGGCA